TGAAGTGCCTTAAATATTGCAAAATTGAGTGATCTTAGGCTCATTTGATTCCTCTCATTGAAATTGACAGCAGATCTTTCTAAAAAAAATAGTACATAAAATATTATATTTTTAATAATTTTAAAATTTTTTTCTTAACAGAAAATAAAAAAAAATCAAATTAAAATCGTATTTGACTAAGTTTTTTTTTTTAATTTGTAGAAAATTAATAATTTTGATGAAAAATGATATAGCAAATTAATAATTTGATAATTTAAATTTACTATTAATTTAGAGCTTTGTTTACATAGGTAGTTAACATAGTAAATTTTTTTAGTAAACATTTTGACATGTTGAGAAATTGGAGGATTACATCTGATATTTTATAATCTGAATTTTTAAAAAATGAATATATTTTTAATAAATTTATTTGTTAACTTGAAAGTTCTTATTTGAAAGAAAATTAAATTTTCTTTATATAATTCTAAAGACGTTAAGATATTTTGAATATAATTTTTTTTTTATTATTTTAAATACTTCAAGATACATTACTACATATAATTTTCTATTAAAATATAAAGAAAATTTAAATGAGAGATTAATTAATTAATTAATTAATTAGCAATCTTGAAAAATTTTGGTCAAAATTATATTAAGACAATATTATCCATCTTTTTCCAAAAAAATACTTGAAAACGTGACAATTATGAAAAATTATTTCTTCTTTGGGCGTTAGGGTAAAGCCGAATCATTTGTTAAGATATGATTTATATGTAATAGAATAATAAATTACATAATTATATAGGATTAACTAGTATAAGTATAGTAATAATGACATTGGATTATTAATCCAATAATTATGCACGATTAATTAATATAATGTACTTGTTTAATATTATTGGTGTTGTTGGTACAACTTTTCACATGTCCTTTGAAATAGTAATGTCTTCTCAACAATTTATTTAGTAGCATAAGATGGTTTTTTTTTTTTTTGTTTTTTCATGATTCGTTAAGGCTCAATTGTTTATATTATTTATAGCATAGATGTGTATTATAAAATTCTCCTACTAACATTGGATCATATATGTAATGTTTAGTTATTTATTGAAGTTATTTATTTGACATTATTTCTAGTTGCATCCTATCATAATAGGTGAGTGGTAAAGCAGTGTTGTTCATATGTGAGATTGCAGCAACCTATCATATCAGATGATATGTAAATATGTATGATCTAATATATGAATATTATAATTTCAAGTTGCATGTGAATATTAGATATGCATAATTTCTATTATTTAAGGGATGCATATATGTATGAAGTTGAGTTGTGAAGATTTTCATTGTTGCCTTTAAAATGTATTGGTAATATATTGATAGGATTCGAGGCATTATTAATACAAAAAAGTTCGATATTGCAAGTAGAAGAATGCATGCTTGTCGCAGGAATTTGGCTTCTTTTTAATGACGAGACTGGAGCGAGATCGAGGCAAGTCGCAAGAATCCCGTGAGGAGACGTGAACGGCTACAACAACGAGATTTCCCGGTTTTTTTCTCGACATATAAGAGGTATGCATGATTTTTCTCAGATTTGCGCTAGATTATTAGAAAAACTGAAATAATTAAAACTCCTCTCAAAGTAATTACTAATAAAAATATCTGCTACAAGGGAAAATCAATGATATAAAGAGTAGGGGACCGGTCTCTCGCCTCTCTCTTCATCAAACCAACGGCAGCTTCTCCAAAGCCTCACGTGAAGGTAACAAATGGGCGAGTAGGGGTCCGGTCAAAGCTTGGAAAAGCAAAAGCAACGTAAACCGTATAATTATTTTGCGTTTTATGCTTAAAACGCAGATTATTTTCACATTTGAAGGCTTCGTTTAGGACGGTTTTCTTTATGCTTCTTAAAACAATTTTTTAGTACAAAATTTTTTAATCTTGTACTAAAAAATTACTTTAAGAAGCAGAAAAAAAATCGTCCCAAACGAAGCCTAAATAAAAAACGCCAACATTTTGAGTTTTAAGTTAAAACACACTTTTCTTTTACGTTTTTTATCTTTTTTTTTTAATTATAATTTTATTATGTTAATTCTCTTAATTTTTGCCTAAAAACTGATCGTTTCTAAAATTCCGTTGTCAAAAAAAAAAATTAAAGTCAATTATGAAAAATTTTATACTAAGAACTTTTTTGATTGTCTGAAAAAGAGATGCAGTGTATTTAGAAAATTTTAAAGCTGTTTGATTGTCAACAAAGTAAATGCAGGAGAATATTTTTCTTGTTTGATAAGGTATATGTAGAGTATAGTAAAAAATACTATATTTTGATTACCTTTGTGTTGTTTGGTATGATGTGTAGGAGATGAGCGTCTATACCTACAATGCTGGAGATGAGCGTCTATACCTACAATAAAGACGAATAGTAAGATGCCTTTGTTGGAACAAGCGAAGCTGGATCACGGAGACGCCCGAGCGAAGGTAGGTCATGGGGTGTTGTAATAGGTGGGAGAACTCGGTGGTAGAACCAGAGGGGAACAAGGGCCACACTATCACTGGCAAGAGAACGAAGAACTTGCGGAGCTCGGTGGGAACTTCACAGCAGGACGCGAGAGCAAGGTTTACGGAAGAGATGTTTTTTTTTTTTCACGCTAGAGGAAAATCCGCAGAAGCGAGAGAGAGAGAGAGAGAGAGTATTTAGAACTCAGCTTTTACAAGTTTCAAATACACCACGAACAGACTTCTAATGCTTCACATTAGTACTATAGATTTACTTTATGTCGCACCAAATGTCTAAATACCCAAAATACACGCATTCTGTTTATAGAGCACGCTAAATACGCCGGACCAAACAGACCCTAAAATTGTTGCCGCGTTGATGGATTTTTTTATGATTGTTTGTAAATTTTATTTTGAAATAAAAACCCCAATAGTCCAAGACCTGATTCCCCGGCTATCTTTTGCAGCCGTAGAAAATTCCTCCGTTTTTTATTGTACACGAAAATGTAAGAGGTCGTGGTTAATACTAAAATAAATCATACTGGAATTCAACCCATGCCACGCAACTCCATTTGGCGCTGTTGTTCACGGGCAATTTGATGAATGGCTGAAAAAGTTCATGAATATTGAATGTGCTGCAAAACATTGAAAACTGTCAAGCAAATAATAGAGTTTGAGTGACTTGGTCTGTTAGTTAGTAGAATCAATTCGGGTCAATAGGTCGGACACAAGTCAAATCCGAATTGACCCGGTCGTAAATAGGTCAACTCGAATCCGAACCGTTTTCAGGTTTCCAACTCGGACCCGTTCGTAAAATGTGAACTTGAAGGCTACAGTGCAGTGTGGCTGGCGCAGATGCGCAGTAGGCATGTTGGGCGAGGCCTGAGGCAAGTGTGTGGTGCGACTCTAGTGAGGTCCGCAACCGTAATGGACGACTGGCCTGGCTTGACCACGGGTCAACAAAGTGTGAGGGTCAGTGAGGCAAGTGACTACGAGAGGTCACCCGCCAACAAGCGGGACTAGCGGATAACGCAGACTACGGGTGCGAGTCGAGGCTGATTGGCCATCAAACTAAGGCATGCAGCTGTCGCGTGCGGGGTCGGAGACACCCTTCGCCGCTAGTGGCTACATGGACACGGGTTAATGGCGGGTCAAACTGGGTTAATTTCGAGTTGGCGAATCCACCCGACACGATTTTAGAAATTGGTCCAAGTTTCGAACATGAACACAACCTGTATGGCAAACGGGTTGACCCGAACCCAAACTTTTCTATTCAGGTTCGGATCAAGTCAAATTTTGACACCCCTAGCCTTAATTGATTTAGATGTCCCAAAAAAAAAGTGATAATGTTCAAGGGTTTTTAATTTTTTTATTAAATAATTATTTAAAATCAGTAAAAAAAAAAATCATCTCAAATGAAATATATATAAATAAGATTTAATATATTAGAACATAATTAGTTTAATGAATTAAAAAAAATATGTATTCTATATGAATTCATATCTATAAAATAAGACAAATTTAATGAAATCAAAATTAAGACCTAATTTTATCAATGTAAAATGATTATATATTTAGTCATATAAAAAAATAATATAATGTTAGGGATAATCAGCCCGCTCTATTGGATCAGGTGATGTTATCGTTGCGCTCCAATCTATCTATCCATATCATCTTCTAGCTAGCAAATGGTTCAATTACAATGATTAGGGTTTGTGATTATTATGATAAATAATTAAATATTACATTATTTGATATCTCCTGACTTGTTCTTCTTGCGCATTTCATCAAACAAATAGTAGGTGTCCAGCTTGAATTTATTATCTTTGGCTTTGAAAATTTATTGATATGATAATTTGGCTACAACCATTTCCAAGTTACTTACTACATCCATTAATTCCCATCAAAATTTTTTTGAAAGAATGAGAAAATTGTTTCCCATATCATAGTTGCCCATATAAAATTATCTTTGCGAGTTATTGATGCTTCATTTGGAACAACTTACTTACTACTTCTTGTAGCTTTCTAGCATAAAAATTTTTATTTTTAAACTAAAAAACTGTTTTAAGAAGCAACAAAAAAGCTGTTCCAAACCAAGAATTTGATAGTATTATGCATTTTTCTTGCTATTATAATCATAGATTATATTATCCGATAGAAGGCACTGATGTTGACAACTTTGTTGTTAAGATTAAGATCATTATCATGCATTCAAAAATTCTTATTATCAAAGATAGTCAATAAATTAAAATTCAAAATCTTCAATTGCAGCAATTTTTTTTTTTAACAGGTATCTACTCATTGTCACCCCGAAAGGGCACTTGGCGGTATGGCTAATCTTCAACTAAATTAGAAGAGACATCCACCCCAGAAACCTCCTAGCCCGCACTTGATTGGGCCCCACTTAAAAAGCGTTGACGCTCGAGGAATCGAGCACAAGTTGGAATAGAGCACAAGTTGGATGCTCACCCACCAACCAAGCTAAACGACGATAAGTATAGCGAGTATAAACCTTTAACTGAGAAACAATATCATCCAAAACAGGAAATTCATATTTTTATAATTGAAATTAGTATTGCGGTACTCTATCTTTCTAAATGCCAGCTTCACCACAAGACACTGTGGGTGCTAATCTGATAATTATTATAGATAAATTAGAGAAGAAAGGATTCAAATTGGTCATTTTGACCGTTTCAAAGCCCTAACCCAACGGCACAATTCCCTTTCCGTATACTTTTTTTACATAGGAACAGGCAAGAACTTGGGTAGGGGCTCACGGGGCTTCGCCGGCATCGAGTTCATTTTGCAGTCCACTGGCAGAAGCTGTGCGGCGTCCACCGTGCCATTGCTGACGGCGAATTCCGACAAGCTGATTAGGTGAAGAAGAACCTTCTCCTGTTCTTCTCCATTGCTCCATTCGTGTACCTCCGCCCTGAGCAGACCAGGGTTATTCTGGATCAGATCCCATAGAGGGTAGTTCTTCCTCGGCATCACGAAATCGCCTTCGCCGAGCCTCAGAGATGGGCAGTAATCGCCTTTGCCATCGCCGAGGTAGATAACCCTCTTCTTCTCCCCAGCGCGAATCCGCTCCACGATTTTGCTCTGTTGAATGCGAGAGCCAAAGCTGGCGGATTTATACTCGAGATGATGAATTTGGAAAGAATTAATGGAGGGATTTTAGTTTGTTTACCTTGCACATGTTCGGGGGGCAAAGGGGGCATCCATGGGAGGACTTGGTGAAATCATGGTAGGGGGCTATTCGAAGCCGGCCTTTGTCGTCTATAAAGCTAGGGTTTGTGTTGATCTCGGTGAAACATCCGATGAGTCCGTGGTGCTTGAGGATCGTCTCGATGAAGAAAAAATTGGCGTCGCTCACAATCCTCAGATCGCATCTGAATAAACCCTAGAAATCAGTCGAGGAAAAGAAGAGTTGAAGAGAAAGGAGGAACTTGGGGAAAGAAGATGGAAGGGCGGGTACCCTAGGGCATATGCGTATTTAATGGCGGAGGCGACATGACGATCAAGTGGCGCCCTTTTCAGGACCTCGGCGATGTCATCTATGGTCTTTCCCTGAGCGTGGAGCTCCATCATCATACGGTCCTGAAACAGGGGAGTTGGGGGTAATAAAAAAGAATCAGCACATTGAGGGGGAATAAAAAGAGAAAATTGAATCGAATTGAGGAGATAAAAAAGAACCATGAGGGAGTTCCAAGGCATGGAGGGGAGAAGCGCCTCAAAAAGCTGGGTGGCGCCGAGCTCGTCGATGACCCAGTTGTCGCTGTCGCAGTCAATGATGGTCTTGTCGAAGTCGAAGATTATCACAGTTCCGGCCATCGCCGTCGCCGTAAGAGAATAAGGAAGTGAAGGAGAGAGATTAGGAAATGCAGAGGATTTGTTGGGAGGGATTCTGCTGCACGGCTGCCATTTATAGCCTGAACCGCTGGAGAGAGAATTGGAATATTCGAGCATATGCAGAACAGAGGTTGGAAGATGCCCGGAGAGAAAGAGAGGGAAACTTGAATCCGATTCGGCAACCAGCGATCCGTTTCGAGTTAGAAAGCGGTTTCGCCTCGTGTGGCGGTTGTGTGGCGCGTCGTTTGCGTTATGGACCAGAGAAGGATGCGGGCACAGGGAGGCTACAGGGAGGCTACTGGAAGAGGGATATTCGATATTGGGGCATATTCGGATCGGATCTGGGCTGCTTGGAAGCTGACCCGCCCGCCACTCGGTGGCGGAGGGTGACCGGGTAACCTGGTGGTTGTATTGGCTGGCATACACTGTGGGCAAATGTAAAGTTTACACACGTGTCACGTACTGTGTGGATGTAACTATTTAGAATTGGGAGTATTAACGAAATTATTAATCATACAACTCTCCTTGGCCTATTGGTTGAGAGCTTAGGCTTCCAACTAAGAGGTCCAATATTCGAGTTTTTGTGTATGCGTTGTGTGTGTGAGTTTGCCTTAAATGGCCTAAATGTCCAAAAAAAAAAAAATTTATTAATCATGTATTGAAATATTTGCTAGATGTTGCAATTATATTACAAGTGAAAAAAAAATCAGTTATAATGGAGCTATTTTTATTACACATATATTTAATTTTATGCATTATATGTTTTTTTTTTTGTTCTTTTTTGGACATTTAAGTTTATTAAAGCAAATTCACACACAAACCAATAATTAGGATTCTCCAAATTGGGTCACTGGTCGGGTTCGTGTCAAATTTGAAATTAACCCGACACATTGACCGGACTTGAACCGGTGCCATTTTTTAAAATGAATTATTTTCTTGGACTCAAACCCGACTCACTTCGGACCTCCCAGGCCAACTTGACACGAACTGCTAATCTGTTGTCATCTCGCTAAAAGGAACGTCGTCGAAGGATTCGTTTGGTCATCGGCAGCGGGTCAGCAGTTTGTCAGCTCACCGTTGGAAGGAATGACATCCGTGGATGTAACTATTTAGGATTGGAAGTATTAACGGAATTATTAACCAGGTATTGAAATATTTGCTAGATGTTGCAATTATATTACAAGTGAAAAAAAAAAATCAGTTATAATGGAGCTATTTTTATTACAAATATATTTGATTTTATGCATTATATGTTTTTTTGTTCTTTTTTGGACATTTAAGTTTAAATTAAAGAAAATTCACACACAACCCAATAATTAGGATTCTCCAAATTGGGTCACTGGTCGGGTTCGGGTCAAACCTGAAATTAACCCTACACATATTGACCGGACCTGAACCGGTCCCATTTTTTAAAATGAATTATTTTCTTGGACTCTAACCTGACTCACTTCGGACCTCCCAGGCCAACTTGACACGAACTGCTAATCTGTTGTCATCTCGCTAAAAGGAACGTCGTCGAAGCATCGACAGCGGGTCAGTAGTTTGTCAGCTCACCATTGGAAGGAATGACATCCATGTGGAGAGTTGGACGGCGAGGCTATGCGGAGAGGTGGACGACGAGGGATGGCGAGGCCGTGTGAAGATGGCTGCAGGGAAGACGAGGAAGTGTGGAGAGGCGGGCAGCCAACCAAGCACTGGTGGTAGGACGGCGGGTCTTGATTGGTGGCGCAATGCGGTCCGTGCAGAGCTAGCCTGCGGGAGTCGGGATTTTGTTTGCAACTACAGCCAGGTTCGGGTGGCAAACGGGTCATTCGGGTTTCCGGGATTAACCCAAACCCTACCCAATTTTTGAAACGGGACAATTTGTTAAACCCATACTTGGCCTGTTTGACAAACGGGTTGACCCTAATCCGGATTTTTCGGGTCGGGTTCGAGTCGAGTTTTCAGGTCATGACAAATATTTACACCCCTACCCATGACCTCTTGGTTGATAGCCAAAGCTACCAACCAACAGACGATGATGAGTAATAAAATTGAAACTTGAGATTACACTTTCAACCAACAGATCAATACGTTATTCTTAATCAAACTATATATTATAAAAATTTTCAATTATAACAATGAGACAAATTAATACTAATCATAGTGAAGGAACTTGGCTTGACTTTTCCAAGCCGCCTCCAATCTTGTCTCATGCAATTATGACAAGAAATTGGAAAATATTAGCAATAGAATTGGAGTTGTCAAAAAGGAAATTATGTGCTTTAATGATAGATTTAATAAGTGTTTCAGTAAATCGTATAAATTGAAGAGATTTTATGATTATAATAAGCTCAAGTTTAGCTAATTTGAGGAGAATATGAGACCTAAAGATTGAAATAAACCTGATATCGAGAGCTAAGTGCATGGTGCTCTGCGAATCTTTAATTTTTCCAAGTGTGGATATCTGTATTATGAAGTTCCCAATTTTTTCTGCTCCAATACTACTAATGGTGGATTTCAAAGGGATCGTTGTGGGTCAGGCTAAGGGCAAATTATTGCGTCCGGTGTTCGGATTTGTCCGGACACCAATCCGGTGTCTCCACGTCACCAAAATGCACCGAGATCCAGTGTATTTGGGTGACGTGGCGCCACCGGATTGGATGTCCGGACATCCGGTGACCGGACACAATAATTCGTCCAGGCTAAGACGATCAGGAATCTTGAAGCATCTGACATAATCCCAATATAGGAGGAGATGTATGGTCTGGAGATGGAGAAATTATTACATGTGAAGTCACGATGTAGCTTTTCATCTGGACTCCAATCATGTATAGACATGTGAATTTTCTCTATTTTGTATGCGCCCTTTGTATGAGAGAGAAAAAAAAATCACGCGTCTTTACGTGATTGGAGTCTGGACGGCGCAACGAATCTGCACGTAATATTTTTTCTTAGAGAAGGGTCTTTTCGACGTCTAATGAGACATTGTTGAGTGGGTTGGGCACTTGTCAATATATGATGAAAAGGAGGTGGGGGTGAAGGCTTCGCATGAGTCAGGCAAGGTAGTTAGTTTTTTTTTTTTCTTTTTTTGGAACGGATTATTCACTCGTTGTCACCCCCGAAGAGTTGCTTAGCAGTGTGACTAATCCTCGGCTGTCCTAGAAGAGGCACCCACCACCTCATTGCCCGCACTTCATGGGCTCCACTTAATTAGAGGCACTGCCACTCAAGGGGAATCTGACGCGGGCTGGGGGTACCCAACCGCGCTCGCCCACCAACCGAGCTAAGCAACACGACAACAGTGGGGAAGCCTTTATGAACGGGCAATGAAGGTGAAATTTAAGCCTAGATAGAGGTGCTGGCTTGTCCTTCGAGTAGAGAAGGTATCCCCCCACCATGGAGGGCAACTAAGACCCTCCATGTGATCACCAAGCTTGCGAGCGCTTGAATGAATGCCATGGAGATAGATCCTCGGCGAAAATGCGTGGAGAGAAAACCTAAACCCTAAACAAAAACATGTTATGTGCTGTAATATATAAAAAATGATTATATTAAGAAGTCTTTAATAATAAGAATGATATATCATCAAATAATTACTTTGATCGGGCACGAATCATGAAGCAAGATCAAGTTGGAAATTTCAAAAATTAAATCCGTGAACATTTGAACTCCGATTTGAGCAAACTTATAGTCGAACTGAACGTATCAAAAATACAAACCCAACAACACCAAATTCGGCCTAATCCAAGCTCAAAATAGGACCAAATCAAAGACCAGAAGTGCATTTGAAAAGTTCAAATCATAATTTGGATTACCAAACGGTTTCTAAATGTGACATGATTATAGTCAAATAGAGTGGCTCGGCAAGCAAAATCCAACGAACCCAAGATCGCCGAATTCTGATCTCATTAAGACATTCAAATGTCCAATAAACGGTCTACGATCAAGAGATTCAGCATCAGTCATATGCCACTCTAAAAAAAACTATAAATAGACCACTAATTTCTCATGGAAGGGGACCCAAGCAGGAAAGAGAAGAAAGAGAGCTACCACCAGACTTCTCCTATACCATCGTCAAACTTTCGCCTGACCGTCGACTGACGTCGGACCTCTGCCCAACCGCCTATTAACATCGAACTTACGTCAGACCGTCAATTGAAGCCCGATTTCCGCCCGATCACTAAACGTCGTTGGAGTTTTTATCTCAGCTCGTAGCTGGTTTTCAACCCGATAGTAGATTATTGTAATATGATCGTCCTCAATTTCAAGGACGAGTCAGCCACTTATAATCTAATCAAACACTGATGGAATCATTTAAGCTATGTGTGATCCCATGATTTTTTCCTTTTTTTTTTCAAGTTTTCCACTTAAAATCCTTGGTATTTCAATTTTCTTTTGTTTGTGTGTTCGACATCCATACAACGCTGAGACGAAAATTCCTAACTCTATCGCCACGTATATTCTAGCCCGCAACAAAGAAAAATAAAAAAAATAACTTTAGTTTGACATTTTTTTCTCTCATTGAACATGTTCTCCTCTCACAAAAAGAGGAGAATTTATTATGTGCGGAGTATGAACATAATTTTTCATTCAAACTCAAATCAGGTGAAGATGCTTGAACTTTTTCATCTTGTACATAGGGTGTGTACAAAAGAGAAAAAATAAAAATCCACATATCTTTTCGTGAATGAAGTCCAGGACAAATTTTTCTAAAAAATAGAATTCAAAAATCACAATGAAAGTTGCATCTTTCAGATTCCTTCTACTTCAAAGATTTCGCATCTTCAGGACCTTCTTTCTTGTTTTCTGTCTTGTTTGTTTATTTCACTCGAATATATCTTTTTAAAACATATATAAGGTCTTGTAAGCCATTAGCCCACATTTGTTATGCTCTAATTAAGAGGAGAACAAATCATCAACCTTGCCATTAATTTATCACTTGGACTTGGAAGTTTTCTTGGAGCTGAAGAGAATGCAAGACGGGCAAGTGGAAAGAGTAAAAGAAAAAAGAAAAAGAAAAAGCAGGAGCAGAAACATTCATGATAATGATAATTAACTCTTATATAGCAGGTAG